TTGTCACTCTAATTTTCTTTTTTTTAAAAAAATATACTACTTAAGGGATTTAATTTATTTAATGTGCAAATGAGATGGTTGATATTAGATTGTTCGATCTTTTCTAATAATAGATATTTCCCATAAATTATCTCCGCTTCCGCTCCCTATTTCACTCTCATCAGTTTGATTTTTTAATTTCTCCAGAGATTTCACGCTATCTATGATTTACTTTATTGAGACAGCATCCACCAGATCACCAGCTGGAACCGCAGTGGTGGAGCCACACAACGCGCCCAGACCTCCTGGGCCAGTGATCCTGAACCTCAGCCATTTTGGGACAATTAGACTACAGACAATGCCACATGCGCTATTAATATTTTTGAACGCAAGTCTTGTGCCAGGCTGGCCTGAACTCCTGGTCAAGGGTCTAACCCACCATGTCCTCCCAAAGTGCTGAGATTCATAGGAGGAACAGCCCACCAGCTCAGCCCCATCCCATTTGTACTGTTAGAAATGCTATTCAATCTCTAGAATTTGGGATTACCAAGCCAGTCTTGCTAATCTCTTGTTTTAGTCCACGGTTGCGAAAGGCAGACATTGTAACGCATAAATCTCTTTCTAAATGTAAGCTTTGTGTTTGTAGGCCCAGAATGGTCTGTTTAGAAAACTGTCAGGAGGCTGAGAAGCGGCCATGTGTCTTTATTGGCATCATGCAATTTTCGATTAAAGCTTTATCAATTTAGTTTTTCAACTCCTACGATCTTACATCACAAATTGAGAAAGTATATAAATATCACACACAGGGTACCCTCAATAAAAAAAACAACACACACACCCCGAACATACCAACCACACAGCATCCCATTTGTCTACCAGCCAATCTGACTTTATTGCATCGAAAACAGCGCCAATTTCATGAAGTTAGTATCATCGACATGCTATGGAATAACCTTTTCAAAATTGTGGCATAATATGCATCTAGGACAAATTAAAAAATTGATATCGCGTAAAAGATATCTCTTGAAAACAAAGGTTAAGAACTGAAAACGCAAGGAAGAGTGTATCTTCTGAGCGAGCGAGCGTTTTCTTCAACCCTGAATAAAGCAAAAAGTATCAGTCCCAAATAATAACCCACTTCTGTGAGAGAGACCAACAACTAGACAATATGAAACCAACGCATCCACTAAAATAAAGTCTTATGAGCAGCAGAGGATAACCTTTGGGGCCCCCAACCAGATGGCCTGGGCATATGTACATCTACTCAGACCTTGAAGGAATCGCCATACGTTTTACCCATACAATGGTTGAACAGTTACAACCCACCACAGTGTAAAAGTGTTCCTGTTCCCCACACCTCCGCACCTGTTGTTCCCTGACTTTTTAAAGATTGCCAAGGTTCTAAACTGGTGGAGATGGATCCTTTGGTTCGATTTGCATTCCTCTGCGAGCCAGGATGATGAAGCATGGTTTCATTGCTGTTGCGTATGAAATGCTTCTTTTGAGAATGTCTGTTCAGTTACCCTTTGCCCACTTTTGATGGGGTTGGTTGTTTTTTTCTGTAATTTGTTTGAGTCTTTCGTAGGTTCTGGATATTCAGCCCTTTTTGCGTCAGTATTGAGTCATTTGCCAAAAATTCTCATTCGTATTTTTTGAATAGTGGTTAAAATTTGGAAATTTTGAAATGATGCGTTTATATTTAGATATTTAG